ATGTTCATTGTTTTATGAGTTTTTAATTCGCATAGGAAACACGGTAGTAAAATTTTCGGTATCGATCAAACTAATATGGATAAACGCAATGGAAAAGAAATCGACAACAGTGAGAAGATTAAAATGGTTTATGATGACAATCGGAGTTCGAGGTCGGGAAGTGAAAAAATTAACCAAAGCGAATTCCTTGGTAATAGATTAATATTTTTATTAGATTCGTTTTAATCGAAATTATGTTCGTTACGATGTGTTGTGTTTTTTATAATCCATCTTGTATTGATAGCTTTTTTTCTTTAATTGCACCATGTGTTCATATATTTTATACGATATGAACAAGGGGTGAACACGATATTAACAAAGGGTGAACAATCACATAAGACCAGAAACATATATGAACAAAGGGTGAATCTTAAACGGTGTGGATGCAATGCATGTATAAAACTCCAATTGATAAATGATGGCTTCTGAATGTCTTTATAATGAAGGAACTATTGTTCACAAGCTGTTCATATTGTGTTCATACCTTTTTTTTATTTATTTTCTTTCGTATAACAATTATTCTTATTATGTTCATAAATGCTATGCAGTCCAAGTTCATATATATGTCAATTTTTTGTTCGTATTTGACACAATGGTTCATATATATATATATATATATATATATATTTGTGTTCATATGGTTCTTATATTAACAAAAATAAATTAACAAAAATTATATAATTTTTTGATTTTGTAACTCCCAATTAATGATATGGGAGTTACATAATTTTTTTTACCTAAATACCATTTTCAACTTTGTTCACTTATCTTTATGAAATATTAAATTTAAAAAAATAAGTTTTTATCATGATTAATCACAACCGTTTATTGAAAGAATGAATGACCAAGATCGGTTAACAAAGTTGACACAAAAACTTTGGTTAACATTTAAATATGGCCATATATATATATAACTCACTGAACAACCGTACAATATCAAAAAGCTCTGAAATGAGCTCACAAAGCAAGTCGAAGCCACCACACCTAAAACGCTTTCAAAGCCTCAAAATATGTCTTAATTACCCCCCGGAGTGTATGTATAAAATATTATAAGCAACCAATATAAGAAACTCAAGTTATATACATTTCCTATTTAAACACTTTATATTGATTCTCATGTACAACTGCTACTTAARGACCTCTTTTGTCCATTTTAAACTCAAATTCATGTCTTGATTATGAAATAAGAAATAAACTAAACTCAATTATCTGACTAATGCAATTGGCCTAACGACATTTGGATTTTTTTTATGATTTTGTACAAATTTTCAAAGTCTGTACATTTTCAGTGCCTTTTTAAGTCGAAATTTCTCATTTTCATACTTTTTTTGTACCATTTCAATTCTGAATTCTTTCAATTTCTGAGTTTCATCTTAATATAACGTACTAGACGTTAAAAACCAGAATTCAACCTTAATTTCATCATTTACATCATCTCCCCAATTTTTGACGTAACAAAGTCAAAGTTCATATGACAAACTTGCTTATTTCTTGCTTAAATCTTGATAATCTTTTGAACCTAATGATCTTTTCATGCTATAAATACTAAAATATACTCATTTTATACACTTAAGATCAAACCCATATGAAACCCTGACTCTTTCTTAACATGCGATCGATATATCAAGAATGTCAACCAAGAACAAGTGCAAAGATGTATTGTACCTTTARTTGATGATCAAATCATTCAAGGATCTTGTAATTTCTCTTTAATTTGAGTTCGAATTAAGCCTATATTTGTGTAAATCGCACTTCTAGTGTGTGTATAAGTTCTGGACTCATAATGACAGAAAATGRGGCCAAAATTCGTGTTTTCTATGCTAAATCCCAAGTTGGGTCGGGTTGACCCGGTTGGATATCCATTTAGATTATAAACACTTAAAATATTCATAACTTTTTGCTCAAACCTCTATTTTCGATGTGGTTTTCGCCTACACGTTCATAAATAKATAATCTATAACTTGCGACAAAAATATTTCAAAAAAGATCTCCCRAAAAAATCAGTTTTACGTATCYATTTGACGTRAATATTTCCATATCCTCTCATATACTCCTAAAAAGTATAACCAAACTCCTACTAAATCACAGGTTCTTTTATATGGAYACTACTAGAACACTAAGGAAAAATTTTCACTTTGACATTTAGCATGCTTCACATCTTCTCACATAATATCCTCTTAACATAATAATTAAACATACTTAGCAAATAATTTGGGCATATTAGAAAYGAGATGTTACATTAATCTCCCACGCAAACTACACTTCCTTGAAAGAATTTCTAAGTGTATTCTCAAAGGCAATCGGCTCTCTTCTTCTACTCTCATATTCTCCTGTGTGTGAAGAAAACCTTAGTGTTCTTCATTTCCTTGCAAATATTCTYTGTATTGTTCTTGTAAATTCTTCTCTTTGTAAGATTATTTGCGTTAGGTTATCYTTTCTTTCTTCCCCAACAATTGATATTGTATCTGTGTGTGTTAATTCTAGCTTTACATCAATAAGAATTAAAAAATTRRAAAAAATGTCTGTGTAATTGTATTCAACCCCCATTTTTACAATTACTTTCTGTTTATTGTCATCTCATTTGGGACCAATAATAAGAGTGACCTATTACTGATTAATTTACTCAACTGTGATATATGGATGTGATGACATGTGATAAATGTATTCAAATATGATATATGGTTGTGATAAGAGTGATTAGTCTAGTCAAATGTGATATATGATTGTAATAACATGTGATAACTGTATTCAAATGTGATATATGGTTGTGATAACGGTGATCAGTTTATGCAAATGTGATATATGGTTGTGATAACATGTGATAAATGTACTCAAATGTGATATACGGTTGTGATAACATGTGATTAGTTTATCAATGGATAAATCAAGGATATTGATACACGGAATGGAGGTACATCAATTACCATTACACTGTTTCACCAACCAGTGATGGATAAACGAGAAACAAATGTGGTAGATGTGTGATAAAAGGGACAAACCTATTCAAATGTTATAACTAAGTGATACATGTATTCAAATACAATATACATATGATAAATGTCAACACTCRGACATTAGCAACTTTTGAAAATTAAGGGATAAATACAAATAATAAAAATAACATAAAATTGATGAAAAACAAATAATTACATTACTACCCTTAATGCTTTATTTTCATTTATTATAATTTTAATTGTGAATTAACTAACTTGGAGGCCTAGRCTGTTCTCGCATTTTTGTAAAATAAATGTATTCTTGTTTAACCCTTTTTTTTTATATAGACATGAATATGGATATAGATATAAAGTAGGAGTAGTGAAATTGATGTTAGAAAGTAGATCCTATGTTGCCAAAGTTACAAGCAAATTATTTATTCTTTGAATCATGTGTTTATTACTACTATATATTCACCATCTTATGTATTCTTCCCAACAAATTCTCCATCCCAATTGCAAGCAATTCCAAGCCATCTTAATTTTCAATACCACAACAAAGGTAACACTCATTCTCTCCCATTTTCTCTCTTCCAATCCATATATATATATGTATGTATGTGTATATAGAGATGAGTTATTATGTAATTMTTTACATTTGTACAACTAATACAAATCAATCTCAACCGTTTATTTAATTTGACGAATATGTGATTTCATAAAAGTTTTGATTGTTTTTTTAATATAAAGTATTGATTATAATTAATAAACCATAGTCATCTTCCATAAATATTCAAATCATAATAAATGAACTCTCATCATTTTCATAAATATCTCAATTGATTATGTTGCATTGGTTGTACAAATGTAATGAGTTGTATTTGAAACGTCTTATATATATATATATATATATATATATATAGAGAGAGAGAGAGAGAGAGAGAGAGTTTGTTTCAAATGCAACTCATCACATTTATGGAAATGATGAGAGTTCATTTATTATGATTTAAATATTTATGGAAGGTGAATAAGTTTCATTAATTATGATCAATACTTTATATTAGAAAACAATCAAAACTTCTATGAAATTACATATTTATCAAATTAAATGGACGGTTATAAGATTGAGTTGTATTGGCTGTACAAATATAAGGGGTTGTATAATAACCCACATCTCTCTCTCTCTCTCTTTATATATATATATATATATATATATATATAAACATGCATGTATATATGTTTTATACATAGGCATGCATCGTACGCATACAATATCAATTTGAAAATATTATAAAATTTATTAAACGTGATTTATCATATTGTCTAAAATTCTCGTTCATTAGAATAGATTGTTGGTAAATGTCTTTTATATTTCTATCTAATAAATAGTCAATGGATAGAAGTCTTCTTTCTCAATTTTCAAGTAAGATTCTCCGTCCTTACTATCTTATACCAAATAAAAATTCTTAGGTATTTATCATATTTAATATCGATTATTAAATGTTTCAACAAAATCCAGAGTTATTTGCAAAAACATTTTTCTTATTCCTTTGCAAAAATGGGTTCCTTTCTATGTTATTAATACAATAACATTGGTCTTTTAATAAGTCCACCGTCAAATCCCAAGACTCAACTGTGGACAGACGATAAAAACTACCAAGTTGGAGTATGGTAGGGGCAGAGGGAATTTCCGATGAACATCAATAATAAAACATTAAATGGATTATGGTATTAGCAATTATAATTAATATTTTTTTTACATTTTAGTCCGTGTCAATTATTTTTAAAGAAAAAATATATATTGAGACGATAAAATTATAAAATATTTTAATAATATAGTTTGAAATTATAAATATTTCCATAGTTTGWAATTAGAAATTACAATTTCGTCCTTATGATTTACGATTCATTATTATTTCCGTTTTTTGAATTTAATCTTATTTTTAAGTAAAAGAGACGGGAAAAAGTAAAGTATTGTAAATTATATAGACCAAAACAGCAATGAATAATAAACTAGAAGAACAATGAGTTACAATTCTAAACCATAAGGACTAAAATCATTATTTGTTACAACCACAAGGACGAATAACGTAATTTACTATATTTTGAATGCAGAAAGCCGTACTCAAAACCCATGGCGACGGAGATGCCTGAAAGCGATGACGTAAGAATTGAAATCCCAAGTAATCAACCGGCAAACAGCAATGATGGCGTCGTGATGGAATGGAATCTCTGCCTTATAGGCCAAAAGACCACCGAACCACCCCAACGTCATCGCCGGATCGATAAACTACCGCCATTACTCATCAAAGGTGAAAAAGGTCGAAGAAACCAAGAATACTACGAGCCTGCCGTCGTTTCCCTCGGCCCTTACCACCATAACCGACCAGATCTCGCACAAGCCGAGAAGTACAAACTCATAACACTCGAAGAATTTAGCTTTAGCAGCGGAAGGAAGATCGATTATCTATACAACAAGGTGTTCGAGGTGGTTCACGACGCCAGAAAGTGTTATATCGATGGATCTACAGATGATTATAACGATGAGGAGTTTAATCGAATGATGCTTCGTGATGCTTGTTTCGTATTGTTCTTCATCGAATGCTTATCGCTCTCGAACAAGAAGGTTATGCTAAATAACGAGTATTTGGGCGCATTAGGGTTTGCGAATGTGGTTCGTGACATTTTCCTGCTTGAGAACCAGATCCCGTTTGTAGTTCTTGAGGTTTTGTTGGATCTGCGATTCGACGATAAAGGCGAAAAAGTCCTAAACGGATTCTTCAATTACTTAAACTACGGCGAGTTGATTCCGAGGGAGGAATTAAAGGTGCTCGAAGATGAATATCCACTTCATCTTCTCGAGCTTTACAGATCGTATTTCATCTCGCTTTCGAGGTTTGGTTTGAGTTCGACAATTTCGAGCAGGTGGCGAAAATGGACCAAAAAAACCGATGCAGAAGAGGATTATAATTATGTGAAAAGAAATCGATCGTTTGCTTCAGTTATGGAACTCAAAGCTAAAGGGATTTTCGTCAAGTGTTCTTACGATGAATCTACAAACGAAGATATTAAGTTTCACTCACGGTGCTGCTATGGCGAGCTTGAACTTGTTCGGCGAGCAGTGTCGTCGAATTCTAAAGCGATTTACTTGAACATGATCGCTTATGAGATGTGTCCTCATAACCCTAACGATTTTCGAGTTTCGACTTACATCAGAGTGATGAAATCGCTGATTGTTCATCCCGATGATGTGAAGGAGTTACGAAACAGCAGTATATTGCTTCATACTCTTGGCCGGGATGAAGAAGTGGTTAAGATGTACGATGAGATTGAAGTTCCGGCGGTTAATCTTTACATGTTTAACCAACTCCGGCGAGGGATTGAAAAGCACTGTAAAAACAAGTATAAGACGTGGGCGGCGGAGCTGATAACCGTTTACTTTAGCAGTCCATGGAAGACGGTGGCTTTGTTGGTTGCTTCAGCTATTTTGTTCACCACTTTTCTGCAGACTTACTTTACGATCAGGCCACTTCCAGATGACTCCAATGAAAATATTATCAAGCTTCTGAGACGATGCGCACGCTATAAGCCTCCATCACTGCCTTGATTTGAAGTACGTGATGATCATCTTTCCGCCGGCCGCCCCACCACCACAACCACTACCTCCATACCAACAGGCAACAGCCAACCCTCTTTCTTCATGGTCCCTGTTGGAATTACAGAAAACTACTATTTGAAATTGAAAACCCCCAAAAGAGATCTCAAGCAATGAAATCAAGTTTTTGTTTCAAGATTTCATATTAATTAGTTGTAAGTTTTAAGCTGTATACTTAAAGTTGTTGTTTTGAGAGAAATAATTTTATTGTGATAACTGGATCTTGGTTATCACCTCAGGTAATAAATATATGATTATTTGTTACAAAATGTTTATATGACAACATGATAAATTTGGTTTATTTGATCATGCTAGTGTATAAAAATTATGTGCATGTATATGTGATTATACACACATGCATGGTGTGTGTGGATGTATGCATGTTATAAGAATGCATGGTGTGTGTGGATGTATGCATGTTATAAGAATGCATGGTGTGTGTGGATGTATGCATGTTATAAGAATGCATGGTGTGTGTGGATGTATGCATATGCATGAGAATGCATGGTGTGTGTGTATGTATGTAGCCGACCTTTCCTGTTTTGGAAAGGTATAAAAGGAAGCTTTAGTCTTCATGGTTTTTTCCTGCCAAATTGAGAGTTAAGTGAGCGATTTAAGAAAAGAGAAAGAGTTGACCGGATTGCAAGTGTCTGATTTCAAGTGTTTGGTTTCAAAAAGCTTGTTAAGATGAGTGATTTCTAAACCTTTTTACATAAAATTTGTTACTGGTTTTATTTGAATGTTGATTATTATTGAAAAGAAATTATRTATTTGTTTAAGGGTTTTATCCGGACAAAGGGTGACCGGATTAAGTTTAAATCGGACAAAGCTTGTCCGGATTATTTATAAATCAGTCAAGGGTTGGGCGATTTAAACTTAAACCGCTCAAGTGTTGAACGTTTTAGCCTTAAACCGGTTAAGTGTTAAACGGGTTATGATTGGTAAGAATGGTTATCATTTTGAACTGAGAAGTAGGAATATGACCATGTGGTGACCGGGTTATTTTAAATCGGTCAAGCTTTGGGCGATGTATTGTCCGGACTTGTTATCCGGACAAAGGTGTTGGAATTTATTCTAAGTGTTAAATCGGACAAGTCTTGAGCGATAAGTTGTCCGGATGATTTGGTAAACCGGCCAAGACTTGACCGGAGAGGAAGTCCGGCCAAGCCTAGGTTGACCGGATTTGAGTTATACCTTCTGTTTAAATGATATAAATTATTATTTTATCATAAAAATGAAGTTTTGATATAAATGAGTTTGAATTGATAATAATTTCAATGGGTGCGTTCTATTTGGAATTATTTTTGTGAAATATTTTTGATGAGGAAATAAGGGTGGCATATCAAGGAGAGATGTACCATGAGATAAGGGTGGCATATCAAGGAGATGTGTACATTTGGATATAAGGGTGACATTTGTATGTGTGTTGTATGATATAACTCTTTCTATTATATTCCTTAAGATTACCGTGGTCTGGAATCTTTATTTCTTTGTGATTTAAAGATTTAGGATCAAGGTTCTTATTGGAAATCATAGTCTGGATGTTATTGAGGAGAAAACATCAGGTTTGGCCTGAAACTTTATATAAACTTTGTTTGATTAGAAAATGTTTAAAAGTGGTATTATGTGAAACCTGATTGGTTCAGAGGTATGAGATTTGAATAGCTGAATGATTTGCTTGAAAAGTGGAAAGGATTTGGTAGTATGTTCCTATTTATTCACATATTTGTATGAAATGTTGTTTTTCATAAAAGATTTTGATGATTTTCACCATGCAATAACATTAATAGGGTATCTCACTAGACCTTTCGGTCTAACCCTCGTTTTGTGATTTTAATTATGTATTGCAGGAGGTACGGACGGTAAGGAAAAGAGGAAAATGTAATATTTTCCTATATGCATTTCTGCATGAAGATTTGTCTTGATGTATAGTTTTGATTGAATAGTACAAGAAATGTATTTGAATTTTTGGACCTTGTATTTGGTTATAATAGTTTCTTGTACTAAGGGACCTAAATGGGATAATGTCATGTATTTCTTTCATATGAAATATGTGTTATATACAATGTGTGGTTTGGGGCGTTACATCTATTCATTTTAATTCAATTAACATTTGTTTTTTTAAACATTGTCAGTTTTTTTAAGGTGTTGGTTGACAAAAATAAGCTAGTTTTTTTTGGTACATGTTTGGATAATTAGATGCATTCATGCACATAAGCTAACTTATTGAATCGCAGTGGCTTGGAGTAGCGTTTTAGTAGTTTATTGTCACTTTTTTCGATTATAATTCTCATTATTATTAATAATTATTTATTAATTTTAATTATATGTCATACATTAATATTATTTATGATAATTATTGATCTTAT